ATGCTGGAGGCAATGAGAAGCTGGTGAAGATGGAGCCAGGGCTGTACGTGTACGGAGGGGACAGCAGGGTGGGGGCCCTGACCCACAGAGTGTCCCACCTGACAGCTCTCAAGGTAAAGGGAGGCCCTGCAGGGCTCTGGGCGTCCCCTCCTTGTGGCACAGCTCTGTTCCCACCTGGGCTGGGCAGCTCTGGTGCCTTTCAGCACATGGGGGATGGTTGAAATGCAGCTTTCAGCATTGTCCAGCCTTGGGAACTGCGACCCCTCTGCCTTGTGTGAGGACAGCACTGGGGCACCTGGGACATGCTGGGTGTCCCTGTGCAGCTGGGGGACAGGGCAGGGACAGTGTGACAGGGCAGGGACAGCGTGACAGGGACAGCATGACAGTGCAGGGGAGGGACAGTGTGACAGGGCAGGGACAGCGTGACAGCGCAGGGCAGGGGCTGTGTGACAGGGCAGGGACAGTGTGACAGGGACAGTGTGACAGGATAAGGGCAGGGACAGTGTGACAGGGGCAGCATGACAGGGCAGGGCAGGGGCTGTGTGACAGGGGCTGTGTGACAGGGGCTGTGTGACAGGACAGGGATTGTGCTCTGCCAGGAGAACAGATCCAGCTGTTCCTGTGGGATGCCAGCTGGAAGATGGGCTGAGCACAGCAGTGCCAGCCTGGCTGTCCCCTGTTGGCAGGGAGCTGGCAGGTGACAGCACTGCTGGGGCAGGTGACAGCACTGCTGGGACAGGTGACAGCACTGCTGGGGCAGGTGACAGCACTGCTGGGGCAGGTGACAGCACTGCTGGGACAGGTGCAGCAGGCATGAAGGGCACTGCTGGCCTTGGGTGCACCCCAGGAGGGGCAGCAGCACAGGAGGGAGCACAGGAAGGTGGGCACATGAGGCCATGTTGAATCCTTGCCTTCTCCTCATCCACTTCTCCCCTTCAGCTCCGTTTCTGTTTGGGGCTTTTTTCACGCTCCATCAGCTTTGTTTAGGATCCTCTGTTGGCTCCTGCTGCCAACCAAGCTTTGAGTGCATGGACATGAAAGGATCTGGCAGTTCCCTTTGTCAGGACACCTGCTTGGAGGAAGCAGCTCCCTGCCAGCCCTCCCTCCCTCCCTGGGCTCTCCCAGGAGCAGAACTGCTGCTTCCTGGCCAGCCTGGGGCAGGTTTAGGACCATTAGAGCACTGAGAGTAGCAATTCTTTTCTAACCATGCCATTGCAGCTTCAGCTTTAGTGTTCTGCCTTCTTCCCAGGTGGGATCTCTGAGTGTGAAATGCCTCAGTACGCCGTGTCACACCTCGGGACACATCTGTTATTATGTGACTAAGCCAAATAGCTCCGAACCACCTGCAGTTTTTACAGGTGAGGAGTTGGGAGGTTCCCTTGCAAAAAACAGAAGCTCCCCCTCTGCCTGGGTGCCTCTGGCTCTGGATGTGCATCCCTCCCTTCCTGCCAGGGCAGCTGCTTGACTCCCACATCTTGCTCCCCTTTCCAAGCAGGAGCTGTAGGTGGAGCTGGGGAAGCCCCTCTGGATTTGTGAGCCAGGGCTGCACAGACCCTGCAGGCAGCATCAGGAGTGAGCCCTGCATGAGTCCTACCATGAATCCTACCATGAATCCTACCATGAGTCCTACATCCAGCAGTTTTTTTTTTTTTCCTGGAGTAAAGAGCTGTTGGTTTCCTGCCTCAGGCCAAACTGGCTGATCCCAAACCCTGTTGCTTTTCCATATATCTGTGCTCAGGTCTGACAGAGAGAGAGGAGAGAGAGAGTAGGGGAGTCAGAGAGGGCTGGTGCTCCACTGCTGGTGGCCAGGGCCTGGATCCTGCTTTGGGGAGAAGGATTCCCCTTCCCTGGGGCTGTGCTTCATCCCTGTGTTCTCCAGAGCTCACAGAAGCTCCTGCATGGAAGAGAAAGAGCCTTAAACAAGATTTTAGGGAGCGCTGAGGAGAAAATAGATGCGACTCATCTTTGTTCAGTTTCACAGCAAAGAACGAGTGTTCTTGTCCCCTGTAGGAGGGACAGCAGGGGACAGGGGCTGCCCACAGCTCAGAGGTGCTGGCAGGAGGTGCCTGCCGAGGCTTCCACGTTTGCCAGCAGTGTTGGTGTGGCTGTCCCCGTGCTCAGCTGCCGTGCTGGGGCAGCAGTGGCAGGGCTGAGCCCCCAGGCTGCTGTGGGCAGCCTGCTGTGGGCCTGATGCCATGTCACCCCTGCAGGTGACACCCTGTTCGTGGCTGGCTGTGGGAAGTTCTTCGAGGGCACCCCAGAAGAGATGTACAAGGCACTGATTGAGATTTTGGGCAGCCTGGACCCCCGAACGGTACAAACCTGTCCTTTTGTGTGAGTGAGGCAGCCCAAAGCAGCACCCAGAGCAGACAAACGCCCTGAGGGTGCTGCTGTGCAGAGACACTCTGCTGTGTGCAAGGAATGGGTGCTTCCAGGAGTTCTGTGGTGCTGCAGTGCCCTGGGGAGGATTGGCCTGCCCCAAATGTGTTTGTGCTTTCTGGGAAGGAGCAGGGGCTGGGACATGGGGCTCTCATCTGTTCTGCTGGCAGCTTGTCCTGCCTGCTGAGTCCTGGCACGTGTGCCTGTCTCCTTTTGGGGCTGTTGGGTGTGGAGTGTGCTGTTCCTGTGCTGCTGGCACCTGGCAGTCCCCCTGGGTGCCTTTGCAGTGCCCAGTGTCACTGTCCCTTCCCCTTCCCAGAGGGTTTACTGTGGCCACGAGTACACCATCAACAACCTCAAGTTTGCTCGGCACGTGGAACCCAGGAACCCCAACATCCAGGAGAAGCTGGCCTGGGCCAAGGTGAGCTGCTGCTCCTTCCCTGCACACAGAGCCTTGCTCAGGAGCTGCAGGAGAGGAGACTATGCTGGGGAGAGCAGAGGGAGCACCCTGCAGCTCCTGGCTCTTGTGTTGTAGGGGAGCAGGGTTTGGCTGTGCCCACACTTTGCTGTCTGGGGGAGAAGTTCCCTGCCTGGAAGCTCCTGTTCTGTCCAGGACACTCCCTGCTCCCCAGAATCCCTGGTGGAGCAGCCCTGTGTCCCTCTTTGCAGGCCCAGTATGACAGTGGAGAGCCCACCATCCCCTCCACCATCGCTGAGGAGTTCACCTACAACCCCTTCATGAGAGTGAGGTAGGGAGCCCCTGCTTGGGGGGCTCTGGGAAGGGGGAGCTGTCCCTGTCTGGGTGCCTCCAAGGCTCTCACTGGCTGTCCTGGCAGAAGGTTCCTGGTTTGGGGGTTGTGCTGAGCATCATTCCCTGGCTCAGGAGGCAGAACAGGCTTTGCTGTGTCCTGTTCCTTCATCCAGCAGGTGCTGCTGGGGCACAGAAATGCCATTTCCTCCTGAGCCTGCAGACCAGGCTGAGAGCTGTGCCAGAGCCCAGGGTTTGATGCTGAAATTCAGCCTCGAGCCCTGAGCCTGCTCTTCCCTCCTGGCAGGGAGAAGTCAGTCCAGGAGCACGCTGGGGAGAGCGACCCTGTGCGGGTCATGGGGGCCATCAGGAAAGAGAAGGACAACTTCAGAGTGCCCAAGGACTGAGCCCTGCCTGCACCACTTTATTCATCACTTTAATGTCACTTCAAGTGTCATTTAGACCATTAAGATGTTTTAGAAGTCAAATCTTCTGTCGTGGTTGAGACAAGTTTTCTTTAGGTTTTTTTTTTGTTTTAATTAAGGAAAAAAAAAAGCACTTTGCCCTTGTTGAGATGTTCTACAGCATATTTATATTATGATGAAGAATATTTATCCTCCTCTTGCTCTCTCAAGCTGTCAGTGTCACCTGCAGAGATCATTGTGCAAATGTTGGTGTGAGACTCCAGGCTGGGCAGGATCAAGCCTGGAGGTTTAGGAAGAAGCTCCTGTCCTTGCTGTGGATGCAGAAGGTGGGACTGAGATGTCTTTGTGTGAAGCAGAGACCAAATTCAGGAGCTGAAGATTCCAATGTTTCCTCCATGCTGCTTCTTCAACATTCTGGGTGTCCTCCTGGCTCCACCAAAACCAGTTCCAGGGACAGACCTGCTGTGCCAGTGCTGCTTCAGGGAGTCACTTGTGAGCCCCACGGGCTGCCCTGGCTCTGGGGGTGCCTCTGAGGCCATCCAGCTGCTCTCTGGTCCCCAGGCATTGCTGTGCTTGCACCCTTTGAGTCCCAGGCTGTTGCATGAAGCTGCTCCCTGCTGTCCCCTGTGTGTGACCTGTGCCAGGGCTTTGGCTGGTGCCTCAGAATGCAGGAGCAACCACTCCTGGTGAGTGCCTGTCCCCCTGAGGGTGGTGACACCCTCGCAGCAGGCCTGGGAGTCACAGGCAGCTGAGCAGCTGTTACCTGTCCCCAGGTGAGCAGGGATGGGGGGTGGCACCAGGTCTCCATTTGCTTTAAAATGCTGAATTTTATGTGGTTCAGAGAGAAAGGTGTTGCCTAAAGCTGTGGTGTCTCCTGGAATGCTGTGACTGCCACACCTGAGTGTGACTGTCCTGAGGGCTGGGCAGAGGGGAAATAAATAACAGCTGGAAGCAGAAGTTGTTAACTCACAGATTCCTTAATTTCTTGGGTTTGGACTAGAGATTGAAGCCAACCAGCTGGGAGTGTCACTCTCCCTAATCCTGGGCTGAGTGGGTGACATTGTGGGGACCCCAGGGGCTTTGGTGGTAGCTGTATTTTTGTGGAAGGGGAACAGGGGAGGGTTCAGCTCTGGTTTTGCTGCCTGTGAGTGCCAGTCCTTCCTCACAAGGGGCATTTGGGCCCCTCAGGACAAGAGGGACATGGAGGGGCTGGAGCGTGGCCAGGGAAGGGAACGGGGCTGGAGGATTCCTGAGGGAGCTGGGCAGGGGCTCAGCCTGGAGCAAAGGAGGCTCAGGGGGCCCTTGTGGCTCTGCACAAGTCCCTGCCAGGAGGGCACAGCCGGGAACAGGGACAGGAGCAGAGGGAACGGCCTCAGGCTGGGCCAGGGGAGCCCAGGGTGGGATTTTAGGGAAAATTTCTTCCTGGAAACGCTGCCCAGCCCTGGCACAGCTGCCCAGGGCAGGGGTGGAGTCCCCATCCCTGAGGGGGTTTTACAGCCCTGTGCATGTGGCACTTGGGGACGTAGGTCAGTGCTGCCTTTGGTTTCGGGGGGAATGGTTGGATTCTGTCTCAGAGGACTTTACCAGCCTCAACAATTCCATGTGGGGGCCATGGCCAGCCCTGCCCCAGCCCTGGGGATGCTCAGCTCTGCTCCCGGTGCCTTTGGGGCTCCCGCACTCGGGGTGGGACCCTGTCCCTGGGGCAGAGACCCTGCGGGACCCCCCTGCAGCAGCTCCAGTGTCCGGCACCGCTCTGCACCTTCTGTCCCCGCTGCTGCGTCCCTCCAGTGCCACCAGTGCCAGCCCCCCCATCCCTCCCCTTGTCCCCGCGGGCCCGGGGGGCGGGCAGGGGCCGATTTTGGGGACAGAGCTGAGGGTTCCCCTCCTTCCTGCACGCCGGGGGTGTCAGGGTGTGCCCAGGCTGGCACAGGGGCCGTCCCCGTGTCCCGCTGTGGCCATGGCGGGGCCGTGCGGGCTGTGCCCGCCCCACGCTGCGTGACCCGCCCCGCACACGCGGGGACCGCCCCGGGGGTGGCGCTGGGGACGCGCCGGGGTCCCGCAGCCTCCCGGGGCCATGAAGGTGAAGGTGATCTCCGTGCTGGAGGACAACTACATGTACCTGGTGATCGAGGAGAGCACCCGGCACGCCCTGGCCGTGGACGCCGCGGTCCCCAAGCGGGTGAGCGGGTCCGGGGAGTGGCGGTGGCCCCATGGCCGGGTATCCGTGGGACATCCCCGGTCAGGGCAGAGCCCCCGTGCCCTGGCTGTGGCTGGGACCCCTGCCCTGCCCTGCCCGGGCTCCGCGGGGTCCCCGGGCCGTGCCGCGCCCGCAGCGAGCGGGATTCCCCCAGAGCCAGCCCCGGGCATGGTGACCCCATGGGCACCCCCCTTTCCAGGGCCGCCGTGCCCCCCGTGCCGCTGTGCCCGCTGTCCCCGGTGCCAGCCCTCCGCTGTCGCGCGTTTTCAGCGTTCCGTGCTGACTCGGGCATTTCCTTCCTCCCGGAGCCGGAGCAGCTCCTGGCCCTGGGTGTTGAGCTGGCATCGGAGCCTCCTGGCAGCCGAGCGGGGCTGGCAGTGCCCTCGGCCAGGGTGGGTGGCACGGCCGCCGTGTCCCTGCCGTGGCGGTGGCACTGTGCTGTCCTCTGTGCCTTCCCTAAGAAAGCACCGGCCGAAAATGCCCCCATGGCCGCGGTGCCATGCCCCTGCTCCAGGCAGGGTCACGCCTTTGTCCCACCCTCAGCCTGTGGCTCCTCAGGGGGCGCTTTTGGGGGATCGCCCTGCCTGGTGGCACAGGGGACAGGTCACTGTGTGGGTGTGGGTGTGTGTCACCTCCCCGCCCTCTCACCGCTGCTCTGGGTCCCTTTCAGCTGCTGGAGATCATCAGGAAGGAGGACGTGGTGCTCAGGGCCATCCTCACCACCCACCACCACTGGTAGGTGTGACCCGCTCGGGGTGGCCGTGTCCCCATGGGGACGGTGCCCAGTCCCAGTCCCAAACCCATTTCCATTCCCATTCCCAATCCCAGTCCCTGCTCTGCCCTAGGGACCACGCCAGGGGCAATGAGGAGCTGGCCCAGCTGCTGCCAGGCCTGCAGGTGTTCGGGGCTGACGAGCGCATCGGGGCCCTCACACACAGGGTCAGCCATGGCCAGGAGCTCTCGGTGAGAGCCTGCAGGGCTGGGGACACTGGGCATGGACCCACACACGGCTCCTGCTGCTGCATGGGGTGGTAGGGTGGTCCTTGCTGGGGGCCAGTGGGGAGCAGAGTGGGGTGGTCACACTGTCCCCAGTGGGGAGTGCAATGGGGTGGTCACACTGTCCCCAGTGGGGTGGAGAATGGGGTGGTCACACTGTCCCCAGCAGGGTGGTCACACTGTCCCCAGTGGTCCCCAGTGGGGTTGGTGCTGCTGGGCCATGCTCAGCACTTGGTGTCCTGGGGTGGGTGCAGATGTGGCCCCACAGATTCCAGGAACCTCATCCCAATCCCAGCCTGTTTGGGGTTGTGCTGCAGGCTCTCACCCTCTCCTGGGGCTGGGTCCCAAATGCCATCAGAGCAGACACAGCTGGACCCGCCCAAAGCCCCCTCAGATCTGTGGCCTGCTGGGCCCCAGGCAGGCGTGGGGAGGTCTGGGGGGTCTGTTTGTCCCCCTCAGGAGGACCCTGACCCTCTGTCCCCCCAGTTTGGGACCATCAGGGTGAGGTGTCTCTTCACGCCGTGCCACACCTCGGGCCACATGTGCTACTTCATGTGGGAGGACGATTCCCCGGATGCTCCCGCTCTGTTCTCAGGTACCCCCCTGCCCACGTGCCCCCCGTGGCTTTTGGGGACACACTCCCTGTGTGCTGCTTTTCCCCACACTCAGCACTGCTGGGGTGACCCTGGCACCCCCATTCCCAGCCCTGGGGCCCCTCGGTGCCCACCCCTGTCCCACAGGTGACACCCTGTTCGTGGGGGGCTGCGGGCAGTTCTTCGAGGGCACAGCGGAGCAGATGCACACCAACCTCACCCAGATCCTGGGCACCCTGCCCAAGGACACGGTGAGTGTCCCCTCCCAGCCTGGGGGGGCTCCTGGGGCTGGGAGGGGGCTCAGGGCAGGGATCTGGGCTGGGACAGGGATCTGGGGCTCAGGGCAGGGATCTGGGGCTGAGGACAGGGATCTGGGGCTGGGACAGGGATGTGGGGCTGGGACAGGGATCTGGGGCTCAGGACAGGGATCTGGGCTGGGACAGGGATCTGGGGCTCAGGGCAGGGATCTGGGGCTCAGGGCAGGGATCTGGGGCTCAGGACAGGGATCTGGGGCTCGGGGCAGGGATCTGGGGCTGGGACCTGCCCTTGGAGAAGGTCTGATGCCCGCTGCCTCCTGCAGAAAATTTTCTGTGGCCACGAATGCACCGTCAGAAACCTCAAATTCGCCTTGAAGGTGGAGCCAGAGAATGAAGTGGTGAAGGAGAAGCTGGCGTGGGCCAAAGTAAGTGACGGTGCCCCCTGTGCCGGGGGGGGCTGGGGTGTGGGATGGCAGTGGGACACCTTTGGACACCTTTGTTCCCCTGGCAGCAGAGGGATGATGAGGACCTGCCCACGGTGCCCTCCACGCTGCAGGAGGAGTTCCTGTACAACCCCTTCCTGCGGGTCACGTAAGCACTGTGGGCTCTGCCCCATCCCTGCTCCCAAAACCCTCCTGCACCATCCCTGCTCCCAAAACCCTCCTGAACCATCCCTGCTCCCAAAACCCTGCTGGGAAATCCCAGCCCGGAGACAGGGGAGGCTGCCCAGACACGGGGTCACCCCAGAGCCACCGCAGAGCCCCCGTGTGCCCCAGCAGAGCCAGCACAGGGTGGCAGTGCCCAGTGTCCATGTGCCCATCCCAGCACAGGGTGGCAGTGTCCTGCTGTCCATCCCAGCACAGGGTGGCAGTGCCCACTGTCCGTGTGCCCATCCCAGCGCAAGGTGGCAGTGCCCACTGTCCATGTGCCCATCCCAGCACAGGGTGGCAGTGCCCAGTGTCCATGTGCCCACTGTCCTGCTGTCCATCCCAGCACAGGGTGGCAGTGCCCACTGTCCATGTGCCCACTGTCCTGCTGTCCATCCCAGCACAGGGTGGCAGTGCCCCACTGTCCATCCCAGCACAGGGTGGCAGTGCCCACTGTCTGTGTGCCCATCCCAGCACAGGGTGGCAGTGCCCAGTGTCCATGTGTCCCATTGCCCATCCCAGCACAGGGTGGCAGTGCCCCACTGTCCATCCCAGCACAGGGTGGCAGTGCCCACTGTCCGTGTGCCCCATTGCCCATGCCAGGCCAGGCGTGTCCCCGGTGTCCCCAGGGCTCACAGGGCTGTCCCCCTGCAGGGAGGAGGCCGTGCAGAGGTTCACGGGCAGGACAGACCCCGTGGAGGTGCTGAGGGCTCTGCGCTCCCACAGGGACAACTTCAAGAAGCCCAAGGAGAGGCCCAACCCCCAGGCCATGCTGGCCTTTCACTGGGGGCTCTTTGGGCCCTTCCTGGAGAAGAAGTGACAGCCCCGAGGTGCCAGGGCTCCCTCCTGGCTGGGCCCAGCTCAGCTTGGCTCCCAGCTGGATTTTGGGGCTGGATTTTCTCTTTCATCTGCTTGTGTGAGGCTGCTCTGCTCTGCTCTGCTCCCCCCTGGCTCCTGGGGTTCCTGTGCAGCTCCTGGATCCCTTTGGGGGGATCCCAGGCTGTGGGACCCCCCCTTGGGGCTGGGGTGCTGGCAGAGGGTCAGGCTTGGAGCAGGGGGCAGTGCCAGTTTTGGGGAGCTGCCATGGAAGGAGCCAGGGCTGCTCAGGACTGTGGTGCTGTGCCCATGGAGCCCCTGCCTGCCCTGCATCCCCATCCAGGGCTGCTGTGATGTGGCTTTGGGACTCCTGGGAGCCCTCCTGGCCCTGCCTGTCCTGCTCCAGCCCCTCTGGCCTCGTGTCCTGCCTGATGGACACTGGGATGTCACTGGTGTCACCAGAACCCACCCAGCTCCAGCCCTGTGCTGACAAATCCCCCATCACAGCAGTTTGGGTGGGTTTTCCCTCTCTTTTTTCCCTGTTTTCCAGTAGGTCCCACAGGGATTTGTGGCCCAGTGGCTGCCCTGGGGAGCCCTTGGGGTGTCCAGGTGGAGCAGGGTCAGACCCAGCAGGGATTTCCCAAGGGGGGGCAGAGTTCAGGCAGCCAAGACCAAAGTGCTGCCAGGCATCCCTTTCTGCTTTTTGCTTTTTCCAAGACAAAAACTGGGAAACACTCGGTGCCAACTCCATGGACTTTGCCTTGTCAAGAGCCAGGGAGCAGCTGGGGCTCCACAGCCTCCACTTTGTGCAAAATCAGGGCTGTGTTTTATTTATTTTTCTCTGAGAAAGGAGCAGAGTTTTATTTGCAGCTGTGGGGAAGCACTTCACACCACTGAAGTCATTCCATTTTTTTTTTTTTTTTTGTGAAGAAAATGAGTGTTTGATGGCAGCTCCCAGCACTGGGACAGAGCTGATTTCAGGGATTTTCATGTGTGGACTGTGACTTTCTTTGTTGCCACTGGAGTCTGGTTTGGGGCTTTTTCCTGTGCTACAAACCAAGTTGTATTTTGGTTGGTTTTTTTTTTTTTTTTCCTTTTATTAAGTTATAGTTTGTATTGACTTTGCATGGAAGGGGAAGGATTTATCCAGCTGCAAAAGCTCCCTTGGTACCAGGGCCTGCATTCCCCAGTTCCCATGAAATGCTGGATTGTGGATGTCCCCTTTGGGATTCTGTTTCTCCTGGGAGCAGGGATGCCCCTGTGGGTGTGAACCAAAGCTGGGACAGATCCCAGCTCCTCTGGTGCCAGCCAGGGAGCCCAGGGTGCCCCTCTGGGTGTGTTGGTGACCTGGGAACTGGGCAAGTGACCCCAAGGGCAGATCCCTGGGCATTTCATTCCTCAGCTCATTCAGCCTCACTGCATTTTGTGCATTTCTGGGCTGGATGTGCTGAGTCCAGCCTGGAGCCCCTCCCTGGCCATTCCCTGCTTCAGCCAAACCCCTGCATGGCACAGGGAATTCTCTGGAAGCACCACTTTGCTCCTCAGGAAGGAAGGGAGGGGGCAGCAGGGGGACATTGATGCCTTAGAACACTGTGAGGTCATGAATGATCAGCAACAGCTGAAAAATGGAAAGCTTTTAATTAAAAACATGAAAATTCACCATTTGCTCTGTGGATTCATTGGAACAAAGTGCAGAGGAGGCTCTGGTTCCTGGCAGCCCCAAGGCCAGGGATTATGCTGTGGTAATTTCAGGATGTTATCCAGCTGTAAGTGCCTGTTTTGTCTGGATTTAGGGATATTATCCCTCAGGAAGTGGCTGCTGAGGGTGGGTAAGTGTGACAATTCTGTCACTCCCTGCTGAGTGCTTCTTAGGAAGAAAACACAGAGAAGGAAATGCCCTTGGTATAAATTATTATAATTTAAGGAAAAGGAATCACAGGGGTTTTGTCCAGCATTCACTCCAGTCCCTCTGCAGCCCCAGGGATGATCCCAGGCTTGGATCCCCTCTCTGAGGGCACTGCAGGGCAGTGAGAGGGAGAGCTCCAGGCCTCAGGGGACCTTTCCAATGGGATGAGGCTGTTCCAGCAGGGGCAGGCACGGGCCTGAGTGCTGTGACAACCCAGCAAGGCCTGGGGGAGGAATATTGGGCTGAGACACAAAGCTCAGCCTGGAGCTGAGCTCTCAATCCTTGAGCTCCTCAGCTCTGGCAGCACTGGGGCTGTTCCACCAGCCTGGGACGTGTTTCTGCCTCTCCTGCTGTGTCCCTGTCACACTCTGGGGCTTATTCCATCACCTCAGATTTGGGGCTTATTCCCATCCCCATTCCAGACCCATTCCAGATTTGGGGTTTATTCCAGCTGGAGGAATGAGCACAGTGCCTTTCCCAGAGGCAAATTTGGGGCTTATTCCCATCCCCTCAGATTTGGGGCTTATTCCCATCCCCTCCAGCTGGAGGAATGAGCACAGTGCCTTTGCCAGAGGCAGATTTGGGGTTTATTCCCATCCCATCGCCTCCAGCTGGAGGAATGAGCAGTGCCAGGCACTTTCCCAGAGGCAGATTTGGGGTTTATTCCCATCCCATCCCCTCCAGCTGGAGGAATGAGCAGTGCCAGGCACTTTGCCAGAGGCAGGAGCTGCCCAGAGTCCCTGGAGGGTCAGTTCAGAAGGCACTGAGGCTCCCCTGGCAGGGCAGCTCTCACCATTTGATGCTGAGGGCAGAGCTGGCTCTCTCCACAGCGTGGTACTGCGTGTGCAGCACCTGCAGGGCCCTCTCTGAGCCCCAGCCCCCCAGCCAGTGCTCATAGAGCTCCCTCACAGCCTGGTTTTCCTCTGGCACCTCTGCCCTCAGGGATTCATACAACCTCTCCACCTGCTGCAGCTCCTCCTTGCTGGATTCCCCCTCCAGTTTGATCTGCCCTCCTCCATTCAGACAGCCTGGGGGGAAAAGAAAAACCAGAAATGAAGAACTTCAGCTGGGAAAACATCCTCAGAAATTCCAGGTCATTTATCCTGCTCCTGCAAACAGCTGCAGGGATGAAAACACCCAGGGATGGAGGTGCCCTCCCAGTTATCTGCCAGCAGCAGGGCCACAGGGCAGGGAGATGGGGGCTGGCTCCAGCTGGGGCTCTGCCTGCTCTTATCTCTTATCTGCTGCCCCAGGAGGGAGCCTGAGCCCAGCCCAGGTGAGCCCAGCCTTGCAGGCTGAGCTGCAGGAAAGGGAGAAGTGCCTGGGATGAGTTCTGGGGGCTGGCAGGGCCCTTGGGAAGGAGCAGCTCCCAGAGGCAGCAGGGAGGGGCCCCTCAGGGGGCTCAGGCTGGCCCTGCTCCCAAGGGAGCCAGCAGCAGCACAAGGAAAAGGGAAGCAAATATTGAATATTCCTCCACCAGCCACAGCAGCATTTTCTGTAAGTGTGATGGCAGGTTGGGGCAATTTCAGGGGGAAATCCCCTCAGGTACCAGAGCTCAGGAAATTCTCCTTAAAAGCAGTTAATTAATTAATTATGAAAATGTTGTGTGCTGGAATTCAACTGCAATTCTTTAAATCCTGAGGAATTATTGGGAAATATCCCCCCCTCCCCAAGCTGTGCTGGTGTGGCTGTCACAGCCCAAGGGGGTGAGGATTCTCCCTTTTCTCCTGTCTGGAATGCCCTGGAGCTCCCCCAGGCTGGAGTTGGGGCAGCCTCACCTGAGGGACAGGCCATGACCTCCACGTAGTGATAGGGGCACTTCCCTCTCTTGAGCTTCTGCACCAGGTTCTGGATGTTCCTGAACCCATAGGCCAGAGCAAAGTGGAGCAGGACCTGCCCATCCCTCTCCAGGGTCACCTCCTGGAAGTCCTTGTTCCTGAGGGAGCAGAGCACAGCAAGTGGCTTCTCCAAATCAGTTTCTATTTTAATCTTCAAAGGGCAAAGCCCAAATTCTTTGTGAGTCTCACTGAAGGGCTGTCCCAGCTCTGGGCCATCCAAGGAAAACAGGAAGGAATTCCTTCCAGAGCCTTCCAGGATTGCTGGAGCCACCTGAGCAGAGTTTGCTGGAGGACACCTGTGCTGGATGAAGCCTGAAAAGCTCAGCACAGGGAGCCCCTCCCTGACAGACCTGAGATCCTTCAGCCAGCATCAACTGGGGATTTTTGACTTCTGCTGGATCATAAAACATGGGAACAAACCCTGACTGAGGATTCCAGATTTCTAAGGTTAGTGGGAATACCTGGTCCTGATAACAAAGTAAGTAATTTGATTTTTATCAAGTTTTTGAGACCGTTTTTTCTGCTTCTTAAACCAGGGAATCCTACAAAAAAAATTGCTCATTAGGGATATAATTAATTCCAAAGGATACATTAAATTAGAACTGGGAAGCCAGAAGGAATCTCAGGTGGATGAGCCTCAATGCTCGAACTCAGTGATTGATTTTGTGTTTCACTACAGTTAAACAGAGCCCCAAAGCCCTCCCACAAGGTTTTTTGGGATCAATAATCAGTGACCAATGTTCCTGATTGGCCTGATCCAAGGTGAGGAATCCCAGCTCCACGACAGCTCTGCCTTTTCAATTACTCTAAAAGTTTATAATTATTCTAAAAGTTATCAGTGGGAGAATCCACCAGGCCAAACTCCAGGGTGTGGCTGGAGAAGGGGCTGGAATTCTCCCTGGAATTGGCTGATTTATTTAACATTGGCTGATGATTGCTGAGCAGCCGATCTCAGCCTGGACGCAAACTTTACCATCGCAAAAAAAAACCCCAAAACTTCAGCCCATCAACAAGGAGAGAATTGTTGAGAAAAACCCAGAGTTCTCAGTGGGATTGCAGCTCCTTACTTGAGAGGTCTGTAGTGGATGGAGGCCCCGTGGATGCCGAAGAGCTGGCGGGCAGCGTGGGTGAAGATGTGCTCCAGGAACCCGCCTGAGCCCCCGCCGCGGTGTGAGCTCAGCTCCTCTGCAGCCCTGCCGAGCCTGGGGGCACAGCAGCAGCAGCACCTCAGAGCCTGGGGGCACACACACAGCCCCAGGGGCTCCAGGGAGCCAAACTGCAGCTGCCCCCGAGCTCCAGCCTCTGCCCTGCTCCGGGCAATGAATGGTGCTATGGGGTGTGCCAGGGATGTGGCTGCTCCTGGAGCCCTGCAAGTGTCACAGGACAGGCAGGACAGGGCTGGGAGCAGCCTGGGATGGTGGAAGGGGTTGGGGTTGGATGGTTTCCAAGTCCTTCCCACCCAAACTATTCCAGGATTCCAGGATTCTCTAATTAATCCTCATTAATAGATGGATAACTCAGGGAGGAGCGGCCTGGAGCAGCCTGGGATGGTGGAAGGGGTTGGGGGTTGGATGGTGTTCAAGTCCTTCCCACTCAAGCCATTCTAGATTCTCTAAATAATCATCATTAATGGATGGATAGCTCAGGGAGGAGCAGCCTGGGGCAGTGGAAGGTTGTTGTTTGCACTGGGTGTTTTGGTAATTTGGTTTTCTTACAGAAGGGGTTGGGGTTTGATGGTTTTCAAGTCCTTCCCACCCAAACCATTCCATATTCTCTAAATAATCATCATTAATGGATGGATAACTCAGGGAGGAGCAGCCTGGGGCAGTGGAAGGTTGTTGTTTGCACTGGGTGTTTTGGTAATTTAGTTTTCTTACAGAAGGGGTTGGGGTTTGATGGTTTTCATGTCCTTCCCACCCAAACCATTCCAGGATTTCTAATTAATCCTCATTAATGGATGGATAACTCAGGGAGGAGCAGCCTGGAGCAGCCTGGGACAGTGGAAGGTTGTTGTTTGCACTGGTGTTTTGGTAATTTGGTTTTCTTACAGAAGGTGTTGGAGTTTGATGGTTTTCAAGTCCTTCCCACCCAAGCCATTCCAGGATCCTCTAATTAATTAATCCTCATTAACTGATGGGTAACTCAGGGAGGGGCTGCTGCTGAACCTCTCTGGTGTTCCAGTGCCAGGAGCTCTGGGATATTCCCTTGCCCTGAGCACAGGCAGCTCTGGGTGCTTAGTGCAGAGCCAGCCCTGCTGTCACCCCAGACCCCAAAATGTGCAGCTGGCCCTGGAGCAGAAGTTCCTCCTCAGCTCAACCACCCCAGTCCCATCTGACATGTCCTAAATGTCATTTTTCACCAACAGCCTCCTGCAGATTAACTGGCTGACCTAAATATTTGTTATTTCTGCTTTCATTCTGGGATCTTTGCAGTGGCTCTGCTAAGGAGGAGCAACAGCTTCTGCTTCAGGAAATTTTTAGCACTGGGACAGATTCTTGTCCTTGCCAAAGCCTGCAGCAGCTCTTTGTGGGATGAAAGGAGCTGGAGTGATTGTCCAGTGGAAATTCACCACATTCTGTACAAGAAATGTTTTAACTCCCAATTGTTCTGGTTCAAGTGACACAAGAAACCAAACCAAGGGCAAACACCCTTGTGTAAAACAGCAGGAAAAGGGGAATTCTGAACTCTCTGAATCCAGGAGGAAAGAGAATTCTGAACTCCCTAAATCCTGGAAGAAAAGGAACACAAAAAGGGGAATTCTGAACTCCCTAAATCCTGGAGGAAAGAGAACACGATTGAAATGGGATTTTGCTCTTACATGGTGTCCAGGGGAGAAGGATCTACATCTGACAGGGACACTCCTTCTTGCTCCAGCAGCTTCAGCACTTCCCCTAGGGCAGAACCAGGCACAAAGAGTTCTTATTTTTGGCAAACAAACCCCACAGAGTAGTCCCTAAACTGCACCTCCATTTTACCATAAATGTAAATATAGATCAATACCCAACCTCTGTCACAGACAAAGGGTTAGTGAAGCCAGGGAACACTGCAAGGCTCCCAGAATTTGCTGGAATTGGGAATCTCCTGTGGCTCTCTTACCTGTGGTGATGACACAATCCACATCCCTGGTCTGGTATTCCTGGTTGAAGAAGTCTGGCCTGGAGGCCTCCAGCTTTTTGTCATAGCAGGGCATGACAGTGACGTGGTAGATCCTGTCAGGGGGCAGGTGCTGCAAGGGAGACAAGGCTGGGGCAGCCCAAATCCCCCTGGCCCCAGGGAGTGCATTCCAGGAGCAAAGGAGGGGGGGAAATGATGCCACTGTGCCTACTATGAATGAGTATTTGTGTGTTTAAATATTTAAATATTTGTGAGTCAATGAAATGATTTCTCTCCTAAAGCCAATTTTAGCTGCAGGCAGTGTCAGCAGTCAGGGACCTTCAGAGGTTTCAGGGAATCCTGGAATGGTTTGGGTTGGGAAGGACCTTAAACCCCAACACCTCCCACTGTCCCAGGCTGCTCCAGGCCCTGCCCAGCCTGGCCTTGGACATTCCAGGGATCCAGGGGCAGCCCCAGCTGCTCTGGGAATTCCATCCCATCCCCTCCCCACCCTCCCAGGCAGGAATTCCTTCCCAACACCATCCAACCCTGCGTCCTGGCAGCCCAGGCCTTTGGGAATAATCTCTTTCCATCCCTCCTGAGGCTCCCTTCAGCTGCTGGAAGTTTCCCTCACTCTGGTGCAATGATCCAAGGTCAGGCAGAGAAGCCAATAATCCCTAATTAAGGCATTAGGGAATAAACTTCCTCCCTGCTCCCAAAGCTCAGCCCCTGGGGGCTTGATCTGGAATCCCACAAAACCTCAGCATCATCCAAGCAATGAACACAGGCTGAGCAATCAGGTCACTGACCCTGGGCCACTCTTTCAGTCTCTTGTGCCAAACATTCCCAGAAATTGCCAAATTTTGTCCCAAATCTGCAGCTGCCTCATGCAAGTGTCCCAGGCAGTAATCCCCTCAAGAAATCCCAGTGGGTGCTGCAGCCCCTTGCTGGCTGTGGGGATCTCCAGCTCCCACCTGGGAAGATTCCAGGGGTTCCAGGCTGAGGACAGCAGCAGAACATGAGGCTGGGAATGAGGGATCACTTTTGGATCTGCACCTAAGCCCCCACTGCAGCCTTGGCTTGGGTCACTTCTTTGAAATTATTCACCAAATTTAAACAACAATGGCACAAAGACACTGAAAATAAGGTTCCTCAGCTCTCCCAAATAATTCAGAGGCTTTAATTTAATTAGCCCATGCTCCATGTTCTACTCTAATTACTACTCATTAGCTAAGGCAGAAGTGAGGAAGATTTGTGCCTTCTGCAAGGCAATACTGACCCTTAAATGTGTATTACACAGCAAATTTATAAATAATCAGCCTGAAGTGTTGAATTGGAGGAGTTCTGCAGTGAGAAGAGCATTTTTAGAGCTGTACCTGCTGCTCTGCAAAGTAGCCCTTGACCAGGGAGCCCATGACCTGCTGGGGGGATTTGGTGGTGCTGATGTGGGGGATGATGAAGCTGCCGTGGGTTTTCTCTGCATAGCAGATCCAGCCTGCAAGGAACATCACCCAGAAATACAATTAAAAAACAAGAACAGGCCTTCACTCTGCCCATTCTCCCCAAACCCCGGGTTTAGTGCCATTCTCAGCCTCAGCTCAGCACAAAAAGCAAAGCAAGTGTCAGCCCAGATTGATCTTAAGGTGTCTCATCACTGCTTTAGCACCAAAATCTGTGCTGTGAGGAGAATCATGCTGCAGGTAAGAACATCCATCTGCAGCTTTCTGAGCAGCTGCTGGATTGGGGATTGCAGCTGGAGCTGCAGGCATACCTGGGCAGGCAGAGGCCAGCATGGGCAGGGCCTTTTTGTCCTCTGCTTGTCTCTGGAAGCGCCTCACAAACTCCTGCTGGCTCTCCAGGAGGCTGAAGTTCCTGGAGAAGGTTGTGTCAAACACGTGGTGCACACCTGGGCAGGACAGCAGCTGGGTTAAAAACCTCAGCACACAGCAAAATACAGCAAAATACAGCAAAAAACCTCCCACTTCAACCAGGGGCAAGCTCAGGCACAGGTGCAGGGCCCTGCAGTTGGCAGGGGAAGAGGAGGAAAGGTGACAGGAGAGGTGGAAATGTAAAATATTAAATTGTTTTCAGTGGTTCTTTACAGGTTTTATGGACTGTGGAATGGTTTGGGGTGGAAAGAGCCTCAAAGCTCAGCCAGTTCCACAGGCAGGGGCATCTCCCACTATCCCAGGGTGATCCAAGCTGGCCCTGGACACTTCCAGGGATCCAGGAGCAGCCTCAGCTTCTCTGGGAATCTGTGCCAGGGCCTGCCCACCCTCCCAGCCAGGAATTCCTTCCCAGCATGGCATCTGTCCCTGCCCTCTGGCAGTTTAAATTCCCTTGCCCTCCTACCCTTCCAAAAAAATCCCTGCCCCTCCTTTTCCCAAGCTTTCCTCCCCTCTCTCCAAGCTCATCGTGGGACTGAAATTTTGGCCAGCCTGGAATCCCTGTGGGGGTTAAATCCCTTTAACCTGTGCTCAGCCCAGAGAGCAGGAAAGCCCACACTTGCCTAAGCCCTTGAGGAAGGTGGTCAGCTTCTGGGCTGTCTCCAGCAGCCCCAGTTTGCACCTTGCAGCCAGGGAGGCTCTGGACTGGGGGGACACAGAAACCACCACCAGCTTCTGCTCGTGGGCAGCAGCAGCCTGGAAAACAGCAAACAACCCCAAAGTGGCAGAGCTGGCAGCACCACAGAGCTCCTCAGGCTCACCCTGAGGCAGGAATTGACACCAAACCCTTGAAAAATGAGAATAAACCCCAAAGTGGCAGAGCTGGCAGCACCACAGAGCTCACCCCAAGGCAGGAACCTGCACCAAACCCTTGAAAAATGAGAATTAACCCCAAAGTGGCAGAGCTGGCAGCACCACAGAGCTCCTCAGGCTCACCCTCACAACTTTAAAAATGAGAAGCAGCCCCAGGAGTGCAGTGGGGTCTCGGAGGGCTCAGGAATTCCCTTTTCCTGGGGATTTTCCCCCTTTTCCTGCAGGGTGAGTGGGACCCACCTTGTTGAGGGCCAGCACCTTGCAGAGCTCCCCGTGGCTCTGCTGGCTCACCAGGACACTCTCAGCTGAGGTGATGCAGCCACTGCAGGCCAGGCAATCATTCAGAGTGATCTTGGCCTTCTCCAGCTTTTGGGCTTCCCCATCCTACAAAAAAAAAAAAACAACAAAAAACCAAAAAACCCAGAGCAGGCTCAGTTCTGACCCCAGAAATTAAGGAGGAGCTTCCCCACTTTGTTACAAATAATGATGTTGTTCTTTTGATTTTTACATTTTTATTTTAATGAGATGAGGACAAAGCCACCTGAATTTGGCTGCTTTTAATGAGATTATTTGGCACAGCAAAGGGGATTTCATCCCAGACACTGGAAGGGAATATTTCCCTTCTATCTGCCCTGAATAATTTGAATTTCCCAAGAGATTCTCCTCTAATCATCACTCCTCAGTAAAGCCAGGAATAGACCAGGAAATGAGGCACTATTAACATTTTAAAATAAGGAACCAGGCTCCTTTGGAAGTGCTGTGCCCTCCTTTTTTTAAATCAAAATCTGCCTAAAGTTCCAATTTCCATTCCCAGAGGGATTCCCAGCCTGGTTAATTGAGCAGTGCCAACTTCTTTTGGTGAAAATAGAAAAAATTCAGCCTGAATTCTGGAAGCTTCTGAATTCCTCAAGCTTTTAAAGAAATAATTTGAAATATTATTTTTTTTTAATCAAACACAATTTATTAAAAATATCTTGATTAAATCTCTGAGTGAGCACAAGGACATTGTTGCAACCAACCTGGAACTGCCAATCCTTAAATATTGATAAAATAAATAAAATATTCATCTTATCTGTTCTCTTATGAAAACCATCACCAATTAATAGCAGTATTTCAGAGTATAAAAAACTGGAATAAATTGGAATTACTAATTATAAAATGACTGCTTAGAAAAGAATTTATAAATTAAAATGCTGATAAATTGAAGTTTAATACAATCTCAGCTTATCTGCTCTTATATTAATAATCAGTAATTAATGCCAGCGTTTCAGAGCATAAAAGTGGCACAAAATTGGAATTATTGATTACAAATTAAAAAGGGAAAAAAACCCAGGAATGCTGACAGCACCTCTTTGAGGCATTAAATGGATGTAGATAATTAAATTACTTAAAATACACTGATTTTTCTGGGTTTTTTACAGTGAACAAAGACCCCACGTACCTGATTGACCTGGAAATAGCTTCCATCAGCTTCAATTCTGATCTTGGCTGCTGCTTTTCCAGGCTTTTTGTCCACTTTGACAGGCTTGATGCATTCCTGAAAGAGCAGCAGAGCCTGGAGGTGAGGAGCTGAGCAAGGCAGAGGGGATTGATAAAAAATCAACATTGAGGATTGGATGAAAAATAAATATGGGGGATTGAATAAAAATAAATATTAGGGAATTGGATAAAAAATAAATATTGGGGATTGATAAATAAATATTGGGGATTGATAAATAAATATAGGGGATTCAATAAAAATCAATATTGGGGATTGGATAAAAAAATATTGGGGACTGAATAAAAATAAATATAGGGGATTGAATAAAAATAAATATAGGGGATTCAATAAAGAATAAATATAGAGGATTCAATAAAAATAACTATAGGGATTGAATAAAAAATAAATATAGGGATTGAATAAAAATAAATATAGGGATTGAATAAAAAATAAATATAGGGATTGAATAAAAATATAGGGAATTCAATAAAAAAGAAATATTAGGAGTTAAATTTTAAAAAATAGGGGATTCAATAAAAAAATAAATATAGGAGATTAGATAAAAAATAAATAGAGGGGATTAAAAAAATTGGGAATTAAATTTAAAAAAATAGGGGATTCAATGAAAAATAAATCTAGGGGATTGAATAAAAAATAAAGAACTCAAGGGATCAAACAGTAGCTCTGGATCCTGCCCCTCAATCCAGGCTGGAATTTCCCCGAGTTTCTCTCAGCCCTGCCAGAGGGATGTGGGGCAGAGGCTGTGTCCTGCTCACCCCCTGGGAACAGGAGGAACAATTCTCCAGCATCATCCCAGCCCAGCCCAGCTCTGCTGCTCCTCAGCAGCTCTGGGTCTGGAGCTGTGGCAGGAACAGCCAGCCCTTCCTCCTCCTCCTCCTCCTCCTCCTCCTCCTCCTCCTCCTCCTCCTCCTGCTGCTGCTGCCCAGGTCCCAGCTCAGCTGCAGGGAGGTGCCCGTGCCCAGCCCAGCTGCCTTTGGGGACAGAAGGGGCTCAGTGCCACCCTGCCCTGGTGCCCCAGCACGAGTCCCAGGGGGTTTCTGGATTTTATCCTGATTTTATCTGGATTTTATCCTGATTTACCCCTGACTCCGTGTCCTGCTTCTCCTTTGAGGCTCCCCTAAACGAATCCCCCGGCAAGAACCCCTCACTCAGATCCTTCACTCAGAACAAAGGCAGGGCTGGTTTTTCCCGGAGGAATTCCCTTACAAACCCAAACCCAGGGAGAATTCACCGTTTTGGGGTTTGCTATTGCCCTGCCCACAGTCCCAGCTCGGTTCTTCTGCCGTGCTTCTCAGCAAACACAGGACATAAATCTGGATATAATCCTGGATATAAATCCTGGATATGAATCTGGATATGAATCCAGGTATGGATCCTGGGCATGAATCTGGATCTAAATCGTGGATCTAAATCCTGGGTATGAATTCTGGATATAAATCTGGATATGAATCCTGGATGTGAATTTGGATACAAATCCTGGGTAAGAATCTGGATACAAATCCAGGACTGACATCTCGGGTGTGACCCCACAGTGACTCACAGTGTCCCACTGACCCCACAGTGACCCCACGGTGTCCCACAGTGTCCCCGCGGTGTCCCCGAGCCCTGCCCCGGCCCTGTGGCTGGATCAACTCCCAGCCCTCATTTCCGCCCAGCAGCGGGAGGGGTTTGATGGCCGGGCACGGCCCCGTGCGGCGACACCGAGGGGCAGAGGCTGAGGTGGCACCGCCGCCTCCCCTCAGGGCCCACCCCGGGAGTCCCCGCGGGTCCCCGGCGCTGTCACCTGCGAGGGGGCGATGAAATCGTCCAGATCCGTCAGCTGCAGCACCCCGCTGAAGCGCGCCGCCATGGCTGCCGCAAAGCGAGCCGTGTGTCGTGACACGGGACTGCCACACCGCCGGAAAGCGAGCCGTGTGTCGTGACACGGGACTGCCACACCGCCGGAAAGCGAGCCGTGTGTCGTGACACGGGACTGCCACACCGCCGGAAAGCGAGCTGTGTGTCGTGACACGGGACTACAGCAACGCCGCCAAGCGAGCTGTGTGTCGTGACACGGGACTACAGCACGGCCGGAAAGCGAGCTGTGTGTTGTGACACGGGACTACAGCACCACTGCAAGGCGAGCTGTGTGTCGTGACACAGGACTACAGCACCGCCGCAAGGCAAACCGCGTGTCGTGACACGGGACTACAGCACCACTGCAAAGCAAACCGTGTGTCGTGACACGGGACTACAGCACTCTCACCAAGCGAGCTGTGTGTTGTGACACGGGACTACAGCACCACTGCAAGGCAAACCGCGTGTCGTGACACGGGACTACAGCACCGTCACAAGGCAAACCGCGTGTCGTGACACGGGACTACAGCACCGTCACAAGGCAAACCGCGTGTCGTGACATGGGACTACAGCACCGTCACAAGGCAAACCGTGTGTCGTGACACAGGACTACAGCACCGCCGCCAAGCGAGCAGCCACATCGTGACACGGGACTGCCACACCGCCGCAAAGTGAACAGCGGCACTGACTGTTGTAAAAGCGCTCGCAATCACAATATATTTTTTATTTTTGCTCTGTAAATATCAACTTTTTGGAATAAACTGATACTGTATAAGGTCTTTTGGCGTTATAAGCAAATAAAAAAGTGTCAGCGCTGGGAAAATTTGGTGTAATTCCTCTTCTTTCAGGCGCTGGGGGGTGTTGAGAATCTCCTGCCTCAAGGGGATCTGAAAATTAAATTTAAGGAAAAAAAAAAAGGTACAAAATGAGGGAATTCCCTGCAGCTGCTGGGCCCAGCCAGGTGCTCAGAGGGTGCTTAAGGAGCACATTTAGGGTGGGGAACATTTGGGGTTTTGGCAGAGTGGGAGGCAGGGAGTAGCTGAGGTTTGCTCTGATCTTTGGGACTGGGCTGTGCAAGACCTGGCACCCACTGCAGGTGACTCTGTGCACACACTTTTTATATTTATATCTTTTTATATTTATGCATATAGCTATGTTTATATTTTAAGTTTCTATTCATATATTTCATGTTTATATTGATATTTATTTACATTTCCCTCTCTATTTCTATTTCTCCCCCAGCAGGTTAAGCTGCCCTGCCCACCCCCAGGTGCCAGCTTTGCCCTCCCAAGCTGGGCACACCCCGCGCTCCTTTTCCTGGATTTCCTTGTGCTGGGAGTGAGGAATGAGGCAATTCCAGCCAAAAGAGGGTCCCCAGCAGGAGCTGCAGCATTTGGGGTGCCCCCAGCACCTCTCCCTGCGGGGACAAACCCCAACTGCTGGGCTGGGGGCTCTGGGGAGCCTGGCAGGGGATCCATGGGGTGGGATGGGATGGGATCCATGAGATGGGAACGGGGTTGGTTCTATGGAATCTGATCCATGGGATGGAATGGAGTAGGATGGGAAGGGATCCATGGGATGGAATGGAATAGGATGGGATGGGGTCCATGGGATGGAATAGGATGGGATGGGATCCCTGGGAAAGGATTGATGGGATCCATGGGGTGGAATAGAATAGGATGGGATGGGGTGGGATCCATGGGATGGGATGGAATAGGATGGGGTGGGATCCATGGGGTGATATCCATGGAATAGGATCCATGGGGGTCCTGGGCAGCCTTGGTCACCCCTGAGCTTCCTCCTGCTGCAAGCCACTTTCCCAGTGACCCTAAAACCCATCACACCTCTCTGTGCTGTGCCAGCAGGGTCCCCAGAGTGTCTCCAAGGCCCATGGGATGGGATGGGATCCATGGGATCCTGAGCAGGAAGGGCTGGGGCACTGCTGGGCCCATTTCTGCTGCTCCCCAAACGTGGCACAGAGGCACAGCACATGTCCCAGCAGTCCCTTTTCCCTTTTCCCCTCTCCTTGCTCAGTTTGTTTGCTCTGCAGGGCTCGGAGCCTTCCCTGAGCGTGGTTTGGGCCTTGTGCAATGCAAACAGCACAGAGCCAAGAAAAGCTCTTGTGCAAACCTGCAGGGAGGAGCAGTGGGGTTGGATTCCAGCTACAAAGGGATGGTGGGTGCTGCTGGGCCTTCTGGGGGTGTCCCCATTGCCCCTGGGACACAGGAGGGGCTGCAGGAGGGCTCCAGGGCAAGGGATCAATCCAAGGGATCAGTCAGGGCTGGGGTTAGAGGGCTTGGGGTGTTTCTGGGTTTTTTCTACAGGTCCCAGAGCAGGGGATAAATCAGGATTGGGATTTGGGGTGTTTGTGGGATTGCTCTGCAGGTCCCAGAGCAGGGGGAAAATCGGGATTTGGGTTAGAGGGGTGGCAGTGTTTGTATTTTTGTTCTGGGGGTCCCAGGGCAGGGGATAAATCAGGATTAGAGGGTTTGGTGGTAGGAAAAGCTCTCTGACACCCCTGCCTTCCCTCTCTCCTTCTTTGTTGCTGAAAATCCCCCTCAGCTGAGGGGCTGAGGATGGGATCACAGAATCACTGGGGTTTCAAAAGACCTTTAAAACCCCAGCACTGCCAGGGCCACCCCTAGAACCTGTCCCCAGCTCTGAAATCCCTGCAATGACCCCAGCACCGCCCTGGGCAGCAGTGCCAGGGCTGCTCCCCCCTCTGGGGGAGGAAATTCTTTATTAATCTCCAAATTAAACCTCCCCTGGTGCACCTGGAGGCCATTTCCTGCTGTCCTGTCCCTGCTCCCGGGGTGCCTGAGCTGTGACACCCAAACCCCCACCCCGGGCTGACCCCTCTGGCATTTCTGGGCGTGGGCTCTGCAGCTCCTTGGAGCCAAAATTTGTTTCTGTTCCTGAATTCCCCGCTGGGAACTGCAGCCCTGAGCAAACAGAGTGACACAAACTCCTTGGGGAGGCAAATATTGTCCTGTTTGTGGCACTGGGATCTCCCTGCTGGTGACATTTGCGGAGGCTGTGTCACCCTGGGGGCACGGGCTGGGGTGAGCTCCTCTTCCTTCCTCATCCTCCTCATCCTCCCCTCAGCTCCATGCCAGGTTTGGCACTGGAAATTTTTGTGGCTAAAACAGAGAAAATGCAAAGGAACAAACTCCATTTCCAGGAGGTTTAAACTGGGTTTAAGCTGTTTAACCTATTGCAGCATGCATGCTTTTTATACATTCTTATAAAACTCATAAATTTAACTTTATTCATTGGTCAGAAAAGACAAACAAAGTGTTCATTGCAATAGGGAATTGCAGATTCGATGGAATAGAGAATTTTATTCCAAGTGAGCCCCAGGTTTCTCTTATTTCTCCTTTCTTTCTTTCTTGGTTTCTCTGTCAATGACCTTGGTAGGAAATTCTTTCCACGTGGATGTTCTTCTCAAAAAGTTGCCGTGAAAGCTCCTGCACAAGGGTGGCACTGGAGCAGCCCTGGGGACGCCCCTGTCCCCCAGCCCTGTCCCCCAGCCCTGCTGCAGCTCTCCCCTCCGAGGAGAAAAAGTCCAGTTTTTTCAGGAGGAAAACCCAGGATGAGGTGTTGGAATGTGAAATGCAGGGAACTCCCAGAATGAACTGATTGTTGTTGTGAAAAATCAGCATCCACTTGGTGAGGAAATGGCATCCACGAGTCCCAAAAATCAAAGGAGTCAGAGGTGAAACAAAGCTAAAGAATTGCCAGGACATATTAAAGAAAACCCTCAAATATTTCTATATATAATAGAAATAATATGTAATATATTATATATAACACACATATATATAAATACTCAAATATATATCTATATAATATAAATAATATATATAATATATGATATAAATATATATGATAATATCTAATATATATTATAATTATGTTTATATAATAAAATATCTTTAATTATATAAATTGGAATATAATTGTATCTTTTACAGAAAATATATAAATATAAAATATTTATATTTATATATTTTTCTGTAAAATTATAAATATATATAAAAATATATAAGTATATATTTTATATAAAATATATAAAATTATATGTTTTATATAATAAAAATAATAATATTATAAATTATCATTTCTACATGATAAATATATTCATAATATATGAATATATAATAGAAAATGCCTATGAATACGCCTTTAAACAGTGCAATCCAACAATACATAAGGAAATTTGTTATAGCTATTGCTGTGCTTTTGGCACTTTGCTGGATTTTATCTCTTACTCAGCCTTTAAAAAGTTGAAATTGAGCCTCGTTGCTCACCCTGAGACAGGCTTAGCCAGCCCCGGCTTAGCTGGGCCAGCACAAAGCCCCATTGTCCCGGCTGGGCAGGATTTATTGTCCCTGTCACACCTGGCTGAGCCCAGCCCTGCCCAGCCCGGCCCACCTGGGCAGGCTCGGGCTCATTTGGGGCTGTTCCCCCCATTTTGGGGTGTCCCACCCTTCTCCTCCCAGCCAGGGGGGCCCTGGTGCAGAACTGGGAGAAGATTTTTGGGGAAAAAGCATCTTGGAGGCAGAGGCAGGGCTGGTGTGTCATGGGGTGAGTGAATTAAAGGGGATTTTTTATTCCAGATAAGCTCCAAAATCCCTCTCACAGACCCTTGTAGGGCTGGTGTGTCTTAGGGTGACTTGAAGGGGATTTTTTAATTCCAGGTGAGCCCCAAATCCCCCTCACAGACCCTGCAAGGTCATGGGGTGAGTGAATTAAAGGGGATTTTTTTATTCCAGCTCCAAATGCTCCTCACAGACCCTGCAGGGTCATGGTGTGAATTAAAGGGGATTTTCTATTCCAGGTGGGCCCCAAAAGCCCTTCACAGAGCCCTTTAGGGGTGCTGTGTCATGAGGTAGAGCTAAAGGGGATTTTTTTTTTTATTCCAGGTGAGACCCCAAATGCCCCTCACAGCCCCTGCAGGATTATGGGGTGAATTAAGGGGATTTTTTTATACCAGGTGAGCTCTAAATGCCCCTCACAGGCTCTGCAGGGCTGGTGTGTCATGGGGTGAATTAAAGGGGATTTTTCTTTTATTCCAGCTGAG